CATCAAGGTAATAAATCTTCCTGTTTTGATTTCTATATTTCCCAATTTCTTCTCTATCCAGTAGTAAACTATTACGACCCCTTTTTTAGCATTTGAAATTTAAATGCTTCAGTAACGCATGGAAAGTTGATGATCGTTTGAAATTTGGCAACGTTGTATCTCCATTTACCTCCTGCAGTACTTTATCTATAGTAGGTATTTCATTCCTAAAGAAGAATTCATGCACTTTCCTCCTAATCGCATGCTTATCAGCTTCATCCAATGATTTAACAATACTTTTGCGATGTTTACTGGTCATTGGCTCAGAAAAGGTGTGATTTTTTTTGAATTGTCTTAACACATTAAACACTGATGCGCGACACACCCCAACTTTGTGAGAAACCTTCTCAACAATTTCTTTGATTGTTGATGCCTCGTTCTCCTCGCGCTCGATCTTATATATATTCAAAATGACCTCTTTCATTTCTGCACTCAGGTGTCTTTTTTTAGAGCGTTTCCTAGGTGGACTACAGGAGTTTCCAACTTCATCGGCAGTATCTGTACTACTGGGCATTTTGCGCAAGCAGTTGATAACAATAACAAGGTATAACAATAACAACGACAAACTCAACAACTTAATAAGATAACAAACGAAAACGTCCAAAGAAATATCAAATTGCAATGATGCACACGACATACGTAACACGTCTGAACCTGAATGTGACTCTGCCTTGATACGACTGCTCTGCCGCTCGGCATAGGCATTTAATTGCGAATTGACCAATGAGGGCTCCTGTTTTACGTCGAGACGGCGGCGTTAGCGTGAAAATCACCCGAACCTTTTGTTTACATCCGGTCTATCTCTTATCTGAATATACTGTAGCTATAGTGTACAACTTACAGCGTAAACCTGCAATGGCGCCATCTCTGAAGCATAGGATACGAGGGATGTCTTTTAAGTTTTGCATATAGAAACCTGGTAGGCCGCGCGGATCGAACGTCAGTACTGAATCTTAACCTCACTCTTTAGTCAACTTAAATTCAAAGTTTCACAACAATACGTCCAGTGTTCTCACTACAGTATTCTCACTACAGTAAATTGTCACCAAGTCATTCGAAAAATGGAACTCAACCGAGAACATTTTCGCGCCATAATTTATTACAACTTTCAGCGACAATTATCGCAACAAGAATGCCTTGCTGTTGGGGTGTTCCAAGGTGAAGAAAAGTCAACAAAAGTCATCCGTTCTCGAAGTGTTTCGAAAAAGATGGTCGCGACATTTGTGTCAAAAGCGGGTCATATTGCAACAATTCCTCTTGATGAGCAAAGAACTGTTCCTGCGAATTGGTATACCACCATTTGTTTGGCAAAAGTCATCACCGAGCTTCGAAAAATCAACCCCGAAAGAAGAATCATCCTCCACCAAGACAATGCAAGCTCGCACACAGCCCAAAACAAGGCAGTATTTAACGGCAGAAAACGTGGAATTATTGGACCATCCTCCATATAGTCCTGATCTAAGTCCTAAAGATTTCTTTACTTTCCCGAAAATTGAAAACAGACTGCGTGGTCAAAGGTTCCAGTCACCAGAAGAAGCAGTTGACGCATTCAAAAATGCCGTTTTGGATCTGCCAGCAAACGAGTGGAATAAGTCAGTTAAAACTACTTAACCGTGTTGTTTTATTTCCATATGCAAAACTTAAAAGACATCCCTCGTACAACACATCATGTCCAAAGCTGCCTCCAAACCAAATAGCTCAAGGGTCATGACGTTTAGCTATCACACACAGCTCCTACAAGTGAACATGAAGTGAACTGTTTACAAAATGACAGTTTGTAGGAAATCCTACATAATGTCATAAAAATCCTACATAATGTCAAAAAATCGATCATCTAAGTTACGTAAAATGGGTGTTGCAATACCTACCCCAGCCAGTCCTGGCTTAAAATCATAAAATCGCAGTGCGTCTTGCGCGATAACGGCATGGTACAAGGTCGCTTAGGCTGTATAGTAATGGAAAAACGAAATGAACTGTCAGCTGCAAAAGAGATAAATATAAAGTGTATATATTGGAGATCGAAATATCTGCATGACGACGCGATGGCCAGACTTCCGCACAGCTCCCCGAAAGGTAAGAAAACCGCGCTCACTTTCTTGAGTTAATTTACTCCTCATTTCAGGAATTAACCCCCAGATGAGACTTCCCAGTTCTAATGGACTTTTAGTAGCTTATATTCGGTATTTCACTTCAACCTTCGTTGCTGCCTAAGTATACATGTATGTATGTGCACTAAGAGACTAAGTCCAACTAAGGAAAATTCACGAAATATTTTGTTCCTTAAACTAATTTGGATATTGTTTGAAAGCTGCTAACATTTTTTCTCTCCACCCCTGGTGGGGGATCCTCCCAGTCGACGACTACCGGGCAGTGGGCGGCTGGCACCCCTTCGGCCGGCGGTAGCGGTGCAACCCCCTCCGCTCTCCATCTCTAACCCCGGGCGCTACCCGGCAGGCCGACCTTTCAGACACAAAGGAAAAACTCGCCCTCGTCCTCCGCAGTTTTACCCTCCCTCCTAATACCCTCTTCTCCTACCCACCATGCCGGCACACTGGCGCTGCTGGCTCGCTAGTTGGAGGAAGTGGCCAGGTGAAAATTCTCCGCCGGAAATGCCGAGGAAATCGCCGCTGCCCTCCGCTCCGATTTTAATGAAAATTCTGCCGCTCCGATGGAGTTTCCAATCGTTATTTCGATCCCGCTTCTGAAATCTAGACACGCATCTTTCGTTGACAACAGTTGCATCTCTTCTTCCGAGATCGTTATTAAACAGTTCATTAAAAACGACCGAATCTTGTTATCGACATCGAAAATTCTGGACTCGAATTGTACATATTATATCAAATCAACAACGTTACAACATTTATATCTACTTTCTTCCGACCACTATTAAATGTGGATCATAATTTGCTACTGGTAGTTCTGGGGAACTCATTATAGGTTAGTGCTGAGTCAACCTACTTCACGCCATAATTCTCGATCATGATAAAAAAAATATTGACATTAACTCCCTTTAAGGTAGATGCGTATTTTTCGGGCTTCTTCCATTGTTATTTTTTATAAACTTTGAATGCTATTTGACATCTCATAACCCAAATATATATGGAGTTCAAAAACGTTCTTCAAAACTGATTTATTTGTCAATGACGCAGTTTTTATTGTCCCTGAAAATTATTCTGTACTCTAGTACATATTTAAGCATATACGAGCCCCTTCCCACTTCAGTTGGCCCACTTCAAGATTTGTACCAAAATATGCCTTTATAAACTAAACATGACGAAATTATTTACTTCTAAAACAATTTATTTTTTCAAAAACAATTTAGTCTTAAAAAATACTTATTTGAATACAAATAAACAATGTGCGAATAAATGCGCGAAGTTAACAACAATTGAAAGATTACCATTGGGTAACCTCACCTTTATTTTTTATTACGGCTGAAATTCTTTGGAGCATAGCGTTAACCAAGTTTTGCCAAAAATTTGGTGTAAAACAATCCCATATTTCAGTTCGGTGATTGTACGAGCAGGTTGTTGTCGTAGAACCTTTTTCATCTCGTGCCACAAAATTTCAATAGGTGACAGATCTGGACTGCTAGAAACCCATTTCAAAAGTGGTACATTGTTTTCTTCCACCCATTTTATAGCCTTTTTTGAGGTATGGCACGCTGCACCATCTTGCTGAAACACAAAATCTTGGCCGGATGTCAAACATTCTTCCATCACTGGTAAAAGCGATTCTTCTAAAATTGCCAAATATTTGTTTGTATCCACATTTCCATCAATAAAATGAAGTTTTCCTACTCGTTTTGAGGACATACTGCCCCAGATCATAATGGATGCTGGAAATTTCACTTTTCTCTTCAGACAGTTAACATGGAATGCTTCATTTTTTTGCGAATAACTCTACTGCGACTGTCAACAACACAAACTTCGAATCGGGCCTCACCACTCCATTGTATTGCACATCATTGTTGAGGTGTCCATTGTCTATGTTCTTTAGCCCATCTAAGCCGATTTTGCTTTTGCAGTGGAGTTAATAGTGGCTTTTCTTTGGCCTATAAACAAGTTGTGCAACTTTAGGGTTTTTACTTCACTTTTTTTTATAAGAAAACTTACCTTGCAAGTGCTGAGTCCCAGTTTGTGGGCCTCTCTATGAGTGTGGAGCTCGAAATTCTCCTTCCAACGGCGTCACTCCACAGAGCACTTAATTGTAAATAATTGGCACGCCTGTTTTTCACGATTATTCTTCTTTATGCTCTTCGGTCGGCATTTGTGATATTACTTTTTTTCACATATCGTGGCTTAATATTAACTGAACCAGTTACGTTATATCTTCTAACAATATTTCTCACACTGTACCGCCTTAAGTCTAACAAAGTTGCAATTTCTGAGTTTGATTTCCCAGAATTAAAAAAAATTAATTATCAGTAACCGAATTTTCTCACTAATAACCTTTCCTCTACCCATTTTGAAAACCTTAACTACCCAAAACTATTTTAAACGTATTCTGACAGCTGTGATTAATAAAAACAATTGTCATGGCTTTTATTTTTCACAGCCTCCTATGCGTTATAGACTTATTTTGCATTGAAATGAAAATAGGTTGATATGCTGTAATTGCAACATGTGTTATTTTTATGCTGCAAATTTGATTAGTGAGTGATAAAGTTGGTGTTTTCTACTATATATTATCAAAATATTCATTGTTAATATTTTAAACCTATAACACCCTGCTACATTTTTATTATTTGTGTTTGATAAGAAAAAAACTAAGATTTCAATAGTTGAGCCAACTCACCCATAATGATGGAGTACTGATATAATTAAAAAAAACCTCCAGGATGAAGATTGTCAGGACAGAAGGGAATGGAGAGAACGGTTCAGAGAATGAACACAGTGGCAACCGTGTAAATTCTTAGTAGTAGTAGCAGCAGAAATGTGTAAGACATTATTTTGTTACAGAACTCAACGGGAGAGCCAGTGTACAGGAAAGTTGCAGTGGTGGAAAATTTCTTCGACATCATCTACAACGTTCACGTGGATCTAGAAGGACGACCCGGAAAACATGCAGGACAGAAAAGAACCTACAGAACGGTGAGCCCTTTTTACGCACAATTTACACAAATTGATCAACGCGCCACGGATATTCTAAAAACATACGTTATTATACACATTTTAAGACAAAGGGGATGTGTCTATCACTTCACAAATATGAAGTGTTTGAATTTGTTTAGAAGAAAAAATATTACCCTTTGTTTTTCGCATAAAAATAACATTTATCTTTCGGACTGGTTTGTGATTCATATCAGCAAAGTAAACTCGTGTATTTTGCTATAAAGTGCCCGTTGAACGAACAATGTATATTACTCAATAAACTAGTAGTGATGGCCGGAAGACAGGTGTTTTGAGATAAACAATTAAAAATTCTCAAAAACTACTTGACCAATCTATTCCAATTTTGTTCTGGTTTTTCTAGGAGTATGAATCTTACGAATTTGAAGAATTATTTCAAGTATCTGCACGAAAATGTCGTCACATTACCAACAAGTGCTAAAACCAGCATTTTGCGTAGGTTTTCGGCCATAACATTGTTGTCATTAGTCAGATCTCATTCTGTAGGCCTCAAAAATATCTAAAAATCTTATTTGAACAGCTTTTTCGTTCCAACCAACACTTTCGATTGAATCCCAAAAAACACGTTTTCTCATTCTTTGTTGTCGAATAAAAAGTTTTCAAACAAAAATTGGTGTACCCATTGTATGGATCCATGTTTTAAATACCACCTTGAACAACTTGCACCAATAAAACCAGATTTTATAATTATTTCGCAAACCAGGGGTATTTTCGTCTAATATAATTAGATTATAATTTTGGAGTAGCTTTGACAGATCTACATCCGATCAACTATCAAATGAGTTCAGCAAATTCAAAGCGGTCCAGCAGTGCAGTGTTTTGATGCTCAATAGCAGATCACATTTTTTGTTAGATATGATTAGGCCAACGATTTGTTAGTAACCAAAATTACGAAGTCAGTAGGCAGGATGCAAGTTCATATTACAAGTCGGTCAGATTCAAGCCTCTAGATTGACACTTGAGATTTCACATTAATGCAATACAATCCTAGTGTTCCATACAGTTAACGAAAATAGTGAAATTAATTAAAATACTTCCAAATATTTTTATTGGATATTGTGAATGAATAATATAACAGCAGGAATTTCCATATTATGCCCTACTAGGTATTTGCCTTTAGCCAAGAATCTGCTCGGATCACAGCTATTTAGAAAAGGCTCTGTCAAAGCTATTTCACGGCTGCTGCTATTCAGCATATAGGCACTGCATTACTGAACCGCTTTACGTTATGAGTGCACTCAAGCGAAAGCTATCCCTCAGCCACCGCTATATAGTATAAAAAATTTGTTTTGTTTTTAAAAGAGACAGCAGAAACCTTGGGGGTCAGATCAAGCATGCCAAACCATCTTTGGAAAATTAAAAACTGTACTCCGCAATTCGATGCATAATATTGTAACGTTGGAAGACGTGTAAGGGTAAAATGACAAGGACATGAAAACAGAGGGTGTGGTAGAGCAAGATTAAAATATTAATAGGACATTGTGTTCGGTGGGATTGTCGCTTAGTTGCGAGTCTTCACTGTCGACTACAGGAGGGGCAGATAACGCAAGTGAAATGTTTGATTGTGATACAGCAGTCGCTATGCCATGTCAAGAATACGATAGTGAAAAACCTATTATTTCATTCAGAGTAAATGTCAATACGTCCTTGAATATGTGTGAAGTCAATTGAAATCACATAGGACATAAAACATTCTATCAATTTCCCACACATAAAAACATGATCTCCAAGCTGTTTGAATGAACGCGAAGTGATACTATATAGGATGCGCCAATAGGTGAACGGAAAACTAAAAATAACGCTCAAATATCTAAATGTGGTACCGGGTGACAAACTGACTTTCGGAGAACACGTCATAGCAGTCATCAAAAAAGCGGACTAGCGAATGGCAATCCTCACAAAAATATTGCTAAACGTGAGAGGTCCCAGTAGCCAAAGAAGAGCAGTTCTCTGTTTGTCGAAAAATATGCTAAGATGCTATTAGGATATCGAGTGGGTACCGCACAGTATCAACTATGGCAGCACAAGCAGTGGCAGGAATACCTCATATTTCCTTACTGGTAGAGGAGAGACTTCATCTCGATAATGCAGTCAACGTAGATCTAAGTGTCAGAATAAGGGAATGGCAGAAGACGCTATATAAATGGCAATGCATCTAGCAAGAACACACCGAAAGGGCAGCGTGGACTAAACAACGGATACCAGAGCTCATACAATGAGCAAATTGCAACCACAGGGAACGGGATTACTATCTTAGCCAGTTCCTGAAGGGGCACACGAAGAAAATGGACATAACGCGGGAAAACAAATGCGGATATTGAGGAAGAGTCGATTCTCCTGAGCACACAGTTTTGGAATGTCAGAGGTGGCACACCCGGAGAAGTGCGATCGTAAGGATGGTTGAAGAAGACCTTGATATAACGAATATCGTCCAGATAATGCTGAAGAACAAAGCCAACTGGGATACCGTACGAACACTCGTGAGAAACATCTTGACACAGAAAGACTGGACGATAACTTGGGATAGAAATAGAGATAAAATTCTGTTTGAAAGATTAGACGCTGCAATCCATCTGAAGATATGCCTCAATAGGAGGTGCTACCGAGGTATCGTGAGCCTCACAGGAGGCAGGAGCCTTTTAAAGGGGTAGAACCCCCCAGTCGCCGCAAAGAGCGGCGCGTTAAATAGGTGAACCGAACGTTGCTCCTATAAGCCGAGTACCAAAAGAGATAGAGTAGCATAACTCGTTTTAAGGTAGGATTCGACTGTAGTCACGTGGTTATGAACACGGACTCTGAATAAATGAACCAACCACTAATGCTTACAACTATATACCTGTCGACCACCGCCTTTAGGTGTTGCCTAGATTATGGGATTTCCTTTCCTGTTGTTAAGAAGACCTTTCATGTTCAAGACTAAACAATTTATTATTTATTACAGTGGAGTCTGCTTTTATTACTTCTAAGGGAATTACTGTGATCATAGTTGACAAACAAATCTACCCATTAAGGGAAAATATCTGAATACACTCGCGAAGTATCAGTAGACACTCACCGCAAACTTACATCAAATCTATATCTAGTTATCGCTATAGGAATGTGCCAGTTTCGGTTTTCCGATTTGTATATGGACTAGGAATAGGTTACCCTACGCACCGCGCGGCGCACGAGTACCCTTTCACGGTGGTTCCGGCGCCGGGCTGGCCCATTCACATATTCTCGAAAATTAGTATCTCGGTTAACTTAAGGTGTATGTGTATAAACTGGTGGACAGTTGGTTTGCAACATGGAAAATTTTACCCAAATTCAAATCTCGATACTTTCGGAATGGAAAGCGATATCGAGATGCGGTATTCGACAGGTTCTTGACCAACTTTTTGGAAATACGTACAGGGTTCGACCAGTATATTTCTTTTATCTATTCATTCATACAGGGTGAGCAAAGGAAGTCACGGTTTTTAGCAAAGTTTGGAGGTAAGTCAGTTCCTCAATGTTTGATCTCGGAAGTTTTTCTATGCTTCTTTTTGATAATTGGACTATCCTAGAAAAGTCATATCTCAATTTTTTTGGAAGTTGGCTATAACTCAAATTTCGAACTTTTAACTTTCCGCAATAAATGTCTTTCGGTTCGACCTCGTATTTTTTGGATTACCCACTCCAGTCTATTCTCGAGTGCAAGAAATTCCGCTTTGTGCAACAGTATGAGAAAAAATGTCCTTTCTCAAGAGAAATGCAGACATTTTTTTCGCCAATGTATGAGTATTCTTAATCAATGCTTGTCAGTGACAATGTGACAACCTACTTGACATGGGCAAACCATTTTAAGTTTGCTATTTATCGACATTGGTAATGTAATACAGCAGTACCTGAATATACTAGTTACGGATAATATCGTTAGTTTTTGTCAAAATTAGAGTATTTTGAGATAGTGAATAAAAGTAATGCCCCTTTATTAAATCAATCAATTCACGCGTGAAATGTAGCTGCGTTTAAGATCGGTTTGTCCGATGTGAGATATGGTTTGGTCAGAAGATTTGCTTAATCATTTGGTAGGGCATTGATGATGTAACCTCCAAAACAGTGAAAAGAACTGTATGTGAAAATTTGCTTATATATATATATATACGTATACGGAAGCACTAAAGGCCTAGTAGGCCCATGGCTTGGAAAGTGAGATTCTTCCATTTCCCCCTATCGACTGCCTTGTTCTTCCATCTTTGCACCCCTATCGCTCGTAAGTCCTGTTCTACTTCCTGTTTCCATCTGCCTTTTCTTTGTGCCAGCTGTGTGCATCAGAATCCTTTTTGGTATTCGTATATTTGGCATCCTCTCTATGTGGCCTAACCATCTTAGCCTCTGCGCCTTTATTACTCCTACTATATTAGGATGCCCCTTTATTTCGCTGTTTGTTCTTCTCAATCAAACACTGTTAACTAGTTTGCGTCCAAAAATTCTCATTAACATCTTCCTTTCACAAACCTGAATCATGTTCTGTTTCGTTCTGGTCGGTGTCCCCACTTCGCTAGAATATGTTACTACTGGTAAGATATAGTAACGGTTCTGTATACTCGTATTCTAGTTTTAGCATTTCTCGATATTTCTTTACCTTTTGAAATTCTGTTAAGTGCATATGCACGTCGGTTTCCTGATGTATTTCTTCTTTGCTATTTGGTTTGTTTGTGAGTACTGTGCCTAGGCATCTGAATCTTTCCACCTTCTCAAAAGCGTAGGTCTTTCCTTCTTCTGCTTCTATTTTCAAATTTTTTCCAATTTTGCTACTATCATCAGCCCATTCCATACATTTTGCTTTATTATTATTCTATTTTTGCCTCCACTATTGGAAAATAAAAATCATCGATTTCAAACACTGCCTTTGTTTTGTTTCTTGTAGCGCTACTGTATCGAACTGGATTT